TATTAGCCTCTCTCGAATTTTTAATCCTGTGTCCTACTTTCTTGCTGGACAAGAAAGAACTCCAGCCCCAGAGTCTACAGCAAATAACAAAATGAAAAATTTATAAAACAGGCTTATCAAGAGACTTGATAAAGCAGAAGGGAGAAAGTAAACCTGAAGATAGATCAAGAGATATTATCCACATTTAAGAAGAGAACAAGGGGCACCTGGGTGGCGCAGTCAGTTGAGTGTCCGACTTTGGATCAGGTCGTGATCCTGCAGTAGGTGAGTTGAAGCTCCGTGAAGGGCTCTGTACTGACAGCTTAGAGCCTGGAGCCTGCTTTGGATTCTGCGTCTCTCTCTCTCTCTGACCCTCCCCCTGCTTGTACTCTGTTGATCTCTCTCTTTCTTTCTCTCTCTCTCTCTCAAAAAAAGAAACATTAAAAAAATTTAAAAAAAGAACAAAAATTGAAAAAAAGGTAAACACAGCTTCTGAGACCTCTGGGACACATTATGTATACTCATGTAAGTGAGTCCCAGTCCCAGTCCCAGAAGGAAATGAAGGAAAATCTACCAAAAATTGGCTGAAAAATTGACAGATTTGATGAAAAACATTAATCTACAGATCCAAGAAGTTCAATGAACCCCACATATGATAAACATGGGTGATCTACATCCATGTCTGTGGTATTTTGTTATGGCAGCCCTAGCAAAGGAGTACACCAAGCAATGTCTATGTCAAAGAAGATACTGCAGACCAGTTAGACATTCCACATGCTATGTCACTATGTAAACGCCCTCTATCCCTTTAGCCATAACCTCAGAAAAAAAGAGAACAAAAAGCCAGATTGACTGAAATTCAATTTTGATGGATAGAAGCTAGAAATAAAAATTGACTTGTAGAAAAACAGTGAGGGGGTTGCCTGGATGGCTCAGTTGCTTGACTGTTTGACTCTTAATTCAGCTCGTTGGGCTCTGATCTGAGCGTGGAGCCTGCTTAAGATTCTCTCTCTCTCTCTCTCTCTCTCTCTCTCTCTCTCTGTCTCTCTCTCTCTCAAATAAAAGGAAAAATAAGAAAAACAGTGAGTTTATGGATTGAGATTTATACCAACAACATAAATTTACAGTGTGACCAAATTTTTATTATATGAAAAAAGAAGATTGTCAGATATTCTCCCCAAATGTTAATAGTGGCACTAGGAGATCCTTATAAGACCTGGCTACCTATTTTAGTTGACTCCTAGTCAGTAGCTTCATATCATTCTGGAACACTAAATTGCCAGTATTTTTCATTTCATCTTTCGTTTTTAGGGTGTATCTTCAGTACTTTATAATAAATATGTGCTAAATATTTTTAGAAGTTATTTAAAATAAGGCTTTTGTAGCAATACTTCTTCATTTTTTACCACCGGAATTTGCCCACCTCACATTTCCTATACCCTAGAATCTTTCACAATCTTTTAAAATCCTCTCTAACCCCTTTCCTGCATAATTAAAATTTTATTGTTAGAGTGCTTGTTCATACGTAAAAAAAATCAAGGAAAAGTAATTACGTTTCCAATTTAATTACAAAAAACCCCTTTTCTTTAGAAAACAGCAGAAAATGCAGTGTTGTCCATTTATGGTGGACAAAGCTGTGCCCTGAGAAGCAGGGGGATGAGGATTTAGTTACAGTTTGCTACTAACTAGTCAGGGAGCTTGAAATAATTCACATTCCATTTTAAGCCACGGTTTTTTCAGATACATAGAATACTGCAGGTTAAATAACATACAAGTAACTTCTATGTTTCTGATTTTAAGATTTTTGTCTAGAGCTCCATAGTGAAAATTGACTTGTCTTCACTGTCACTGTGTGTTCATTGTAACAGGAGAAAATAAACTAAAAATTTTATTTACATGCTGGAAAAATATTGGAAAATGCTCAACATTCAAATATCTAAAAACTTACTCAGACAAGAGAATAGATGATATAGAACCATAGTGTATTATTTTCTTTACTTTCAGATATGCCATTCTATAGTTATTAGTTTCACTTGTTGACATTTAAATGAATATCAAGTAATACCATGTTTGCATAGTCTTAAGCTTTTAAGATCAATGCATACATGTAGCCTAAAGTTGCTTCATTTTCCCAAAGGAAAATTTTCAGACAAAAACCGTGTCCTCAGTCACAAAATTTTTTGTTACCATAGTGATGAGAATAAAGAATGGGGGGGGGGGGAGCTAAAAATACCTGAACACATACAGACAGTTTTAGGAATGTGACCTACTTGGTGTCAACCACTGAAGAAGTTAATCAATTGAATTAAGTACATATGCGTTAGGTGAAATATTCTACTGGATGAAAAAAATGCGTAGGTTGCACATCTGGAGCTATTATCCACAATCAAAGAAGTCAGTATGAATGAAGATGACTGACAATCTAAAACACATAAAATCAGATTCTTTTAAAAATGGAATATATACCAGAAGCAAGTAGAAAACCATTAATTTAGCTTCATTTCCCATAATTTTTTTTCCATTAGTTAGGATATTTCCATTTTAAATGAAAGCTTCTTATGCACCAAAAGAATATTTTAAACTGGATGGAGCAACATAATTGAACATATATTTTAAATTATGTTACAGTGGCTCCTTTCTGTAAAAAAAAAAAAAAAACAAAAAACAAAAAAAAAAACCTTTCCAATTTTAGGCAGTATAATAAAAACAATATGACTCAAAACTAAATTTTCTTTTGAAAATTCTAGCTTTAATAAGAAATTTAATAAACTCAGTCATTGCAGAAAACCTACTATACTGCAAGGCATTAGGCTAGTTTGTGAAAGATGAATAACAGGCAGTACTTGCTGTCAAGAATGTTTTAATCATGTCTAATTATGCTTTCATAATAGACTTTTAAAGTATCTTCACATAGTAAAATGAAAGCAATACTGAACCTAACTTAAAGAGACCAGGAGTCAAGTTCCAACTCTACTAGTGAGTTTAGAAAAGTCTCTTCCTAAGTCCCAGCCTTCCCATCTATAAAATGAGCATAAATGAACACACAGGCCATTGTGATAATCAAAAGAGTGGTTAAAAACCAACAGAAAGCATTCAGTAAACAGGCTTTATAGAATGAGTCAGTATACAAAGAGATTCAACATTTAAACATTTTCAAAATAAAAAATTATGAAGACAAGTATACTTAAGAATTTTTTAAGATTAATGAAAGCAAACATTACTGAGCACTTATATTGGGAAACATATTTTAAATAAATTGTTTCATTTAAACTTCACAACAGTCCAATGGCTTAGATAGTATTATGTTTCTTTTATGGTTGAGAAAAATAAGGCATAGCAGAGATAAATAAATTGTCCAAAGACAAACAGCTAGTAGTAGTGAAGCCAGGAATTAAACCAAGGAAAGCTAATGCTAGAGCCATGCTCTAAACCTAAGCTTTTGAGATATACTTCAAAATAATCAGTAGAGGGAAGTATCTCTATGAAACTGTTAATTTGAAAACAAAATTATATGTTAAATTACTAACACAATCAGTATAAGTTTTTAAATGTCTAATTAATGCTATTTTGCTGCATTTAGTTTTTTCATTATTATTTATTACAAAACAAAACAATTTAAACATGAAATAATAAATAACTTATAGAACCTACATATGACGGATTATTACCCAGTCATTAATAATGCTGTGAAAAATATGGCTTGGAAACTTGTAAGTATCAGTAAGCAAAAAAAGCAGATTTTTAAACATGTAGAAAATAATCTCACTTTTCATAAAAATAATGTCAAATGAGTAGAAAAAAACTGGAAAGATAGGCATCAAATGTTTACAATTATTATTTCTTAGCAATTTTGTATACTGCTATATTCCCAAATTTTCTATAATAAATATTCTAGGTTTTTGTCATCAGGAAAAAAAAAAATGAAACAACCTAGTCATGACTACTAAAGCACAAAGTGATTTAGATGCTTCTGCCAATCTGTGAGCAAATAGTTATTGAGAGTCTAGAAAACTGTTCTAGGTACTAGGGATACAGCAATAGCAAAGCAAAGTCTATAGGTAATAAATTAGGTAAACTAAAAATTAAGAAAGAGAATTTCAAACCTATAATGAAACTTCAATTTTGTCACTCTGACCTTAATCAAATCTTCCTACAGGCATGTGAGCCCTTTTCCTGTATTTCAAGTTTATTTATTTTGAGGGATGGGGGAAGGGGCAGAGAAAATGGAGAGAGAGAATCCCAAAGCAGGTTCCTTGGTGTCAGTACAGAGCCCCACAGGGGGCTCAGTTTTACAATTTTTCTCAATTAAATTGTGAATACACCATCTATCATCTTTAAATATGACAGCAAGTCATGCATTATTATGGTCATAGAAGCATTTAAGAAGATTCTTAAGGAATTATAGAAAATTTGTTGAGATTCCCCATATCTTCATGACAATTTTCACCTCCTTACTAGAGACAGAAGGAATATTCTTCCATTTAAATTATTAAATATTCTCATACAATACTATCCTTTCACCTATTTAGTGTTCTGAAAGGAATGATTTTCTAACTGTAAAATTCTATTCAAATAGTTCAAAACTTTTTAAATATTTAAACTTGGCTATGTTCTTTAGTACCAAATCTAACTATCCAGTATAAAGATTTTTAGCATCAGTATTTAAAATATAGTGGCTTAAAATACACTGAGTTAGGTGTAATTTATATTGTATCAAAAATATATTAAAATTTTAAAAACTTAAAATCATCTCCTCTGCCCCCTTAAAAGATACTGTGTTATAAACTTCTTTTAATCACCCTTAAATCTCTTCTTTTAAATATATTAAAATCAGATTCTTAAAATTTTAGGAAAAGGATTTATATGGACAAGTTTAATGAAAAAGAAAAATGGGAACAATATAAATTTAAATGATATTTAAATTAAATAAGAGAAGGAAGGAAAGAACAAGGGAGGAAGAAAAGGAGGAAAGGGAAAGACACAGTAAGGTAAAAGAAGACAAGAAATGGGAAACCACTCACTTTTATGGACCAGGTCCCAAACCTCATCAATTTGCTGCTGGGTTGGGAAATGACCACAGTCGTTGAAGAACTTAAGAAGCTCGCTTCTTTCTAATCCTTGCCAATCTTCTCTCTTAGCAAACATTGTTTCATAGACTAAAAGAAAGAGATAACATATTTTTGTTATATACTATGTCAAGTACAAACTACGAGAAAGCTTCATCTAACTTCAAAGGAACTTTACCTCTAGTTTTATTGCTATGCCTTGATTAGAGTAGCACTATGGTGACCTCCAGGGGAAGGCTAAAAGAAAATGGGGCATACTTCTCCCTCCCATATCCATAGTTGTCAGATTTGGACTTGTTTCCCCAAAGAGAACACTGGCACCCTCTGGCCTGGTTTAAATGACAACTGTCCATGGATCATGCATACATGAATGCTCAAGTCACATTGTAAGACACAGCTTTGATGTGAGGATTTATTTTTCATTAGTTCCCTTAATTTTTTCTTCTCTTTTTGGCTTCTATCTTCATTCTAATCTATCTACATTCCACATGTATTGCTGATTCTCCTCTGGACTGCTTATTCTACTTCTGATTTTGTCCCTAAATGGAATGATGTCTAGTTTTTGCTCACTAACTTCATGTATTCTCCTTCCTAGTTTAAGGTCACTTGGTTCAAGTGACCACAGGAAGTGACTTTGTCACTCTTGGCTCAGATTTCCACAGAAAGCCACTCAGTTGGGTCATCCTTCACGTATCTCCCATACTTGGCATTAATGGGAGTTAGATAATAGCCAAGAAAACTGGTCTACACATTTTATAAGTGTAGTTCCTCATAAAGAGGAACTTTTCAAAAATGTGATACTGAGCCTCTTCTCTGAAGTATAATGATTCACCCCATAATGATGATTGTCAATCAGCATGTACAGAACAACAGGGTCTGCCTCAGCACAGGTTTAGCTCTGAAATATGGGCTCAAAATGACAAAAGGCACTAAAATGGTTTCTAACAGAACTTAAGGTACAATCCTGGCACTCAAACACATGGACTTCAACTTTCTATTTATTTACTTATTTGTTTGGTTTAGGTAGACAATCATGAGAAATCAACAAATCAAGAAATATTGAATGAGTGCCTAAATATAAGCCACTATTCCAGATCCTGAAACACAGCAGTAAAATAAATTCATACTTAGAATATCTATGGATTTTTCTGTCTTTTTAAATAAACAAACTAGGGGCACCTGTGTGGCTCAATAGGCTAAGCATCAGATTATGGCACAGGTCATGATATCATGGTTTGTGAGTTCAAGCACTGCATTGGACTCTATGTTGACAGCTCAGAGCCTGGAGCCTGGTTCAGATTCTGTCTCCCTCTCTCTCTCTGCCCCTCCCCCACTCATGCTCTGTCTCTCTCCTCCAAAAATAAATAAACCTTTTATTTTTTAGTTTTTATTTAATAAAAACTTTTATTTAGTTAGTTGGCTTTTCTGTCCTTATTTAAAAAAAAAAAGGAAAATTGCTCAAATAAGCAAACTAGAGCAGTTGGTGTTGGTGTCCCATCCATATTGTCTTGTCCCTTGCATTTCTGTGAATGCTGACATGACTTTCAATTGCCAGCATCCCATTTCATTGCCTCAGGGCTCCCTCTGGCTGCAGGACTCCACTCTGCCCACCTATACAGCAAGTCAGAAGTGCCAGGGAGTTAAGGCCCACAGTGCAGTGGCCCTCAACCACTAGCCCTCCCTCAACTGAGAGCTGGTGGATAAAGCCCCAGCACTTAAAGAAAGTTGTCTACACTGTTCCCCTAGAGGGATCAAGCTCCAGTTGATGGTAATCTGCTGGATAATATATTCTTTTTCGACTTCCATCTCTTCCCTATCTTACTTCATTCCACTAACAGTATTTGCTAGGATCAACTTTCAATTAACTTAGTTTACTTGAATTCTTGTCTCAAGGTCTAATTCTGGAAAAATCCAAACTAGCGCAGAAAGAATACCACTTTTTACTTTTCTGTTTAATTAAATATATTTCTTCTTGAAAAAGCATATATATCTTCATTAGCTTTTCATTTAATTCATTTTAGATGCTTCTCAGTAGATCAAACTGATATACATATTAACATTACAGTCATGTAACTATATTAATAAATAATAATGCCCTTAACCTGTATATTATGCTCAAAAAGCAAATGTTCAGCAACACACTAGCAGAATTAATATTCTAGACAGGTTTAATTAGGGTCATTACAAAACTTAAGTCATGAAAAATAACAGCATTGAAAGATTCTTGAAAATGCATATAGATACCTGTAAAACATCACCCAATTAGCAATACACATATGAAAAGAATGGAGAATTTTCCAAGGAATATTAGGGCAAACAAGAACTTCCAAATTTTGTAGACTCTAGAGTTACTTTAATCCTTAGTACAAATGGGTGCCTTAGTTGGTAATTCTTTAAATCATTCATTTAGCTAATTCTCTTCTACTGTTTAGATCCTATGCTGGACAGAGCACCAACTGTCCACACTGGACTCCCTTATGTACTTACCTCATGTCAGCCTATTCTCCACAAAACAGCCAGAGGGATGTGTTCAATCATCTTATCATAGCCCTTGGATCACAGTCATCCATGGGCTTTCCAACTTTTTTGAGATAAAATCCAATAGTCTATAAAACCCGACACAGCCTATGCTCCCGCTACCTGCTACCTCTCCCATCTCATTCTGCTCTGTTCTTGATCCATTCCAATAGCAGTAATAGCTTCCTCCAACACTAACAGTCTCCAACTTCCTGTCTTTGTGCCTCTGGCTCCTCCTGGCTAGAACACTCTTCCTCCATGTATCCACTTGGCTCCCCCTCTGACTTTCTTTTAAGACTTTAACTCAAAGTGCTTTTCAGCTAGAAACCATGAGTCCAGGACAGAAAAATGAACCACATTATCTCTTTTTACAAACTGAGAGATTAAGACACAATAAGGGTGAAATCTATAGATAAAATCAGAGAGGAGAAACGATGGGAAGAAAGTAAAACATAGAAAAATAAGCAAGATCGTATAAGGTTAAAAAATTGATTTGGTGGTCTCATTGAACGCGGCGCTAGCTTTCCCAGTAGCTGATTTCTTCCCCAGCCGGGCCTGGCCCACCCAGAAGCAACTATGTCTAAGGGACCTGCAGTTGGCATCGATCTTGGCACCACCTACTCCTGTGTGGGAGTTTTCCAGCATGGGAAGGTGGAAATAATTGCCAACGATCAGGGAAACCGGACCACCCCAAGTTATGTCGCCTTTACTGACACCGAACGATTGATCGGTGATGCTGCAAAGAATCAAGTTGCAATGAATCCCACCAACACAGTTTTCAATGCCAAACGCCTGATTGGACGCAGATTCGACGATGCTGTTGTCCAATCTGATATGAAGCATTGGCCTTTCATGGTGGTGAATGATGCTGGCAGGCCCAAGGTCCAAGTAGAATACAAGGGAGAGACCAAAAGTTTCTATCCAGAGGAGGTGTCTTCTATGGTCTTGACAAAGATGAAGGAAATTGCAGAGGCTTACCTTGGCAAGACTGTTACCAATGCTGTAGTCACAGTACCTGCCTATTTTAATGACTCTCAGCGTCAGGCTACCAAAGATGCTGGAACTATTGCTGGTCTTAATGTGCTTAGGATTATCAACGAGCCAACTGCTGCTGCTATCGCTTATGGCTTAGACAAAAAGGTTGGAGCTGAAAGGAATGTGCTGATTTTTGACTTGGGAGGTGGCACTTTTGATGTGTCAATCCTCACTATTGAAGATGGGATCTTTGAGGTCAAATCTACAGCTGGAGACACCCACTTAAGGGGAGAAGACTTTGCAACCGAATGGTAAATCATTTTATTGCAGAGTTCAAGCGCAAACATAAGAAGGACATCAGCGAGAACAAGAGGGCAGTCCGTCGCCTCCGTACTGCTTGTGAGCGCGTCAAGCGCACACTTTCTTCCAGCACCCAGGCCAGTATTGAGATTGATTCACTATATGAAGGAATTGACTTTTATACCTCTATTACTCGTGCCCGGTTTGAAGAGTTGAATGCTGACCTGTTTCGTGGCACCCTGGACCCTGTAGAGAAAGCCCTTCGGGATGCCAAGCTTGACAAGTCTCAGATCCACGATATTGTCCTGGTGGGTGGTTCTACACGTATCCCCAAGATCCAGAAACTTCTACAAGACTTTTTCAACGGGAAAGAACTGAATAAGAGCATCAACCCTGATGAGGCTGTTGCTTATGGTGCAGCTGTCCAGGCAGCCATCCTTTCTGGAGACAAATCTGAAAATGTTCAAGATTTGCTGCTGTTGGATGTCACTCCTCTTTCTCTTGGCATTGAGACTGCTGGTGGGGTCATGACCGTTCTCATCAAGCGCAATACTACCATTCCTACCAAACAGACCCAGACCTTCACTACTTACTCTGACAACCAGCCTGGTGTACTCATTCAGGTTTATGAAGGTGAGCGTGCCATGACCAAGGATAACAATCTACTGGGCAAGTTTGAACTCACAGGCATACCTCCTGCCCCCCGTGGCGTTCCTCAGATTGAAGTCACTTTTGATATTGATGCTAATGGCATTCTTAATGTCTCTGCTGTGGATAAGAGTACAGGGAAAGAAAACAAGATCACCATCACAAACGACAAAGGTCGTTTGAGCAAGGAAGACATTGAGCGCATGGTCCAGGAAGCTGAGAAGTACAAAGCTGAAGATGAGAAGCAGCGGGACAAGGTGTCCTCCAAGAATTCCCTGGAATCCTATGCATTCAATATGAAAGCAACTGTTGAAGATGAGAAACTTCAGGGCAAGATAAATGATGAGGACAAACAGAAGATTCTGGACAAGTGTAATGAAATCATCAACTGGCTGGATAAGAACCAGACTTCAGAAAAAGAAGAATTTGAACATCAGCAGAAGGAGTTGGAGAAGGTGTGCAACCCCATCATCACAAAGCTGTACCAGAGTGCAGGAGGCATGCCTGGAGGAATGCCCGGAGGCTTCCCTGGTGGCGGTGCTCCTCCCTCTGGTGGTGCCTCCTCCGGGCCCACCATTGAGGAGGTTGATTAAGCCAACCTGAGAATAGGTCTAGCATTGTTCCACACAAAACATTTGAAGGACCCAAAT